ACTGAAGTAAGTAGAGTTTGGATCACACTATTGTGTAACATAAAATCTATAAAGCATGATTGGGAAAGAACCAAGAGACAACCAGCACATACAAAAGTTCAGCGCAATTTGTTCAAGTCAAATTCCTATTTCCTGATAAACTCTTCTCCATGCAGAAAATTTGATCAAGAAATTTATAACAGAAGCAGCATTTACTTACATGTTATTTGTTGTTATACACATTACAACACCAAAAAATGCAAAAAATGACAGCTTTACCTTGTTAAACTGGATCTCAATTATGGTATCAATTGCTTTCTCAATAACCCCACATATGCGACAAACATAACCAATATCATCCTTCAAGACAAAAGAGTGGTCGCAATAATCTTCATCTTCTTCCATGTTCTCATCAGATTGAGGATTTTCAACAACATCCTGTCAGAATCAGCAGAAATTCATAATAAAATACAATAAACCAAAAATAGGGTTTTTCTCATTCTTTCAGAATACTAGACTCAAATGCTGGATCTTAAACAAGCAATCTGAGCAAAAATATCAGAAGTCATTCATGATCCCTCAGCTAAGGAATGCGCTCAATGAGCACAGGCGAAACATATAATGGAATAATAAACACAGCTTCATAAAATTCGATCACTTTCATTTCACCACTGGATGTCAAGTAATGATAGTCTCTTGTAGCATAAATAAATTGCTATTGATATTTTTGTTTCTTTTCATGACTAGTCATTCTGCTTGCTTTCATAGGACAAATCATGTTCCTTTTTCTTCTCCTTGATAAATAACAAATTCAAAAGACTCTAAAAGAAATGTGAGGAAACCTTGTTTACAAGTCAGGCACAGAAATGTGCCAAAAATTAAAAAAAATAAAAATTTCAAAATAAGACATAGGTCCAGGAAATCAAAGCCTTCAAAATCAATCACCAAATAATGAATCCACAAAACCTGTCTTCTTGAAGGGAAAAAATAATTATTCAACCGAAAACTTCACCAGCATTTGTTGCACCCACCAGTCAAAGCAAAATTGAGACCATATCCGACATTAAGGCAGTTTTTGTCAACTAGTTTTTCTTTAATTTTTTATACATATTTCTAGAATATATATATATATATATGTACCTTGGAAGACTCCAGTGCGAATGACATCTCTTTCCAAATATCTCCTAGGCCATCGTCTTCAATCCCTGTATCAACTTCATCCTCCTCTACACCAACATAAACTCCTTTATCTTTTGTGATGTTAGGTTCACCAGTAAGACTTACTACCTCTCCACGAATTCTTCTCTCGGCATGGTCACTAAACTGAAGAAATAACAATTGAGATAAGACAGAAATGGCATTGGAACAAGCAATTGTACTCGTATGAAATCCTGAAAACGAAAATAAAGGTGCTACTCGAAATAGACAAAGAATTGAACTTAGAATCAGCTTTCAAGAGTCTAAACTGGTAAAGCGTGAGAAACCAACACAAAAACAAAACTAAAATGGCAAAAACGTACAATAAAATTCATAAATAAAAATCATCCTATAACATCATTGGACGACAGTGTATCACTGAAAAAGCATGCAGGCAACACAACGTGGTTTAAACTGTGTCAACAGTTGCATAACTCCTCCGCGATAAGCTAAGTATTCATTTTTCAACCCTCTCCCTCTCCTGAACCTTTTCATGTAAAAAAGAAAAAAACCATATTATATGCATGTACAGCACTCATAGCTATGGTTTGACACCCATGTAATAAAAGTCATAGAAATTGTTACATGTACAATCGCTAACAGCACATCTTTTAAACCACATGCATTAGCAACTTTTGCATCTTCAAACACACATGACTCCAGAACCACCAAGATGATCGAAACTTACCATAAGGTCAGTAAGAAATTGCCCCTCGGGCTTCGGCAAAACAATCCCCTGAAAATGCCCAGCCATCCTATTCTCATTACTCTCTACTTCGTCATCGGAATCAATAACCACAACCGGCATTCTTCCCCCAGCAACATTTCCACCTTCACCCTCATCATCATCACCATCATCCAAATCAATCACATTACACTTTTCCTCACTGAAACTCATCCCTCGACCACGTGACTCATTCGCAAGCTCAGGATACATAACCAAAAAGGTATGTATCATTTGCGCTTTCCGGTTAAAAAGTGATCGTATATCGTCCGTAACACTTCCATATCTCCCACTATCTAACCGGTCAAGCAAACCATGAATTGCAAATGGATCAGAGTAATCCGTTACTTTTTCTTTCATCTGTTTCATCCTCTTATTTCCATTAAAACGCGACTCTGTTAGCAAAAAAAATCACAAAAATTATGAAAAAAAATCAATCAAATAAATAAAGGGAGGGAGGGAGGGAAACGTACCGTTTGGAGCTGCGCGTTTTAGAGGCAAAATGTTCAGTGGAGTTTCCATTAGAGAGCTGAAATTGAGAAGAAAACACAAAACGACATAAATTTAATTCACGAAACGACGGTGGTTTAAACCCTACATAGAACTGCTAAAGAGAACGCAATGAATGAAAGAAAACCCTGGAGTAAGAAATTAAGAAACTAGCCGCTGGGTTTTAGCTTTGATTAGTTAAATGCAAACTAAATATCTGCAGCTAATTAATCATGGGCCTGGAGAAGAAGGGAGGACTGATGGGGTTTTCCCTTTTCTTTTCTTTTTCTTTTTTTGCGGGAGAGTGGAGTTTTTTATTTTATTATTATTATAATTTAATTTATATGATCTAGATAAAAACTTGAGTTAAGTCCGATTAATTTAAAAAATCAACTAAAATTTATTGATTTTTTTAAATTAATTTTTATTTATTTTTTAGTTAAGTCCGATTAATTTAAAAAAATCAACAAAAATTTATTCATTTTTTTAAATTAAATTATTTTTATTTTTTAAAAAATAAAAAATTAAATTGAACTTTTAATCAATTGACTGATCTAAAACTCAAATTCTTTTAGTTAATTTTTGAATAGATTTTAAAACTAATACACGAGTTGATTTTACAACTCATGTTATAAATAAGAAGGGGGAAATATTAAATATCTTTTTTGGCTGGAGATAAGATAATGAGATGATAAATAAAATTATAAATATATACTAGTTGAAAAAATAAAGTTAAATATTGTTTTAAAAGAAAAAGGTTAAGACAGCAGAGTAAATGCCAAAAAAATTATAAAAAAGTATTTATTTATCCTCCATGCCCTTCATTTCAGATTATTGATGAAAATAGGTAATCGTGTGTGTGAATGGGGGAACTAGATTTAAAGGGACTAAAATTTCAATTATTTTATTATTTAATTTAAAATTATAAATATTATAATGCAAATGGTTGAAAAAACATTTCTTGCAGGGGCCGGGGCTCTGCCTGCCCCGTGTCTCTACCCCTGTGTGTGTGTGTGTGTGTAGACAAGAAGTATAATTATACTTTGTCAATCAGATTTTTTTAGTATTTACATGGATATTAATTTACAGCCATTATTTATTATTTAACAATAAATAAAATAGTAATATATAAATATATATTAAACAATATAATAAAAAATATTGTACATACATGTACATGTGTGTGTATTTTATAACAATGATAAGACATGTGCATATTATATTAATTCAAAAAATATAGATAAATGTTATGCAAGAGTATTTATATAAATACAATATCTATATTATATGCATTATCTATCAGGTTGGGTTGTATCCATGCCTATTAGATTAAAATTAATTTTTTTTATCACTCTAATACTCAAATTCATCTCACCTTGGAAACTCGCGTGCAGCCCATCCAGATCCGTTGTTTTCCTCTTCTTTTTTGCAGATGGAAAGTACATAATAACCTGAAAAATAAATTTGAAGGCATCAAATATAATTTAAATAAAAAGGTCAGCGGACAAGGATAGGGACCGGACCGGTGATAAAAAATATTTACTTTGATGTTGAATTAATGAATAAATTAAGTATTAGTTAATAAGAAACTTTTGTATTAAACTTGTATATCTAAAAATCTTTAGAAGATTTCATGAATAACTGCAAATATTTAACACTATAGACCCACTTTAAAAAAAGATAGTTGATTTCAGCACAACCTACTCTAGTTACATGTGATGTGATTAACTTGTTGATAAAATTATTTTTATTCACATAAAAAATAAAAATAATTTTTAATTTTATTTATGAATGTTTAAAAATATAGTAATAATTATTTTTTAAAGAATTTTTTATTTAAAATATATTAAAATAATATTTATTATTTTTATTTTTAAATTTTTAATATTATTATATCAAAACAATTTGTAAATATAAAAAATTAATTTTAAATGAAAAAATTCAAAATTTATCAAACTCTTAGTTTAAATGTAAGATCAAACAATAAATGATTATTAATCATGAAATGTGATTGATTGCTTGGTTTTTCTTTCTTTTTATTATAAAAAAATAAGAAGAGGTTCATTACTCCCTGCGACGCCATCAGAGGAAAGGCTAGATTCCTCTCTCTCTCTCTCTCTCTCTCTCTCTCTATATATATATATATATATATATATATATATAAGGCATAATAGTATCATTAAGCTTATTATAATATAACGACCAAGCAGTGATCTATCAAGATCTATAAATTAAACTAGATTTTAAATTAAATTAGATAAAAATTGATTTAATATAGCTTAGTTGATTTGCTTGGTAAAAATATAAAAGGGTAATTTAATTTGATTTTAAAAAGAATTAAACCAATATTGCTTTAATTGTTTTCTTAAAAAAAAACAAACTTGAAACAACGGCAGGTAAACTTACCATCTTGTAAACGGGTATAATAATATGAGATAAATTAAGAGTTTTTATTTTAAAAGCCCATGAAGACAACCTAGCTGTGGTGAATTTGAAGTCCCTTGTCAGTTGTCAGCACGAGCTTCCACTCGAACTGAAAAACCTCAAAAGAGCTAAAAACAGTCCCACTCCATTTACAAGCGAATCACAACAGAAGTCGCCGCTGTTCTTCTTCTCTCAGAGTTTTCCCGCCTATATAAATCCATACTCGCAATGCTTTCTCATCGATTGCAATTCCATCTCCTCTCTCAAAATCCCAAAAAAGCCTTTACAATGCTTTCTCATCGATTACAATTCCATCCCCTCTCTCAAAATCCCAAAAAAGCCTTTACCTTTTCCACTCCTTCTCGCTCCAATCCTCACTCTTTCCTTCACTTCTCGCCAAACACAACCAATCGCTCCTTTCCTGGACTAAAAAACAAAACCCACTTGAATTCCACCATGACTTCGAATTCTAATCAATCCAATCCTCTCCAATTAGACCTCACTGAAGCAGACATTGATGGCTTCTCTGATGTAGCCAACAAGCTTGCTGATGCCTCTGGTGAAGTGATTAGAAAGTATTTTAGAAAGAAATTTGAAATTCTTGACAAAGAGGATTTGAGTAAGTATTTCATTTTCATCTTTTGACTTATTTGAGATATTTCAGACTTTTGGTGTTTAATTAATTTTGTTACAGGTCCTGTTACTATAGCTGATAAAGCAGCGGAGGAAGCTATGATTTCAATTATACTAGAGAATTTTCCTTCTCATGCAATGTGAGTTTAATTGAATGCATACTGTTGCTTTATTTATTTTTCTTGTAGAAGTTTTTGTCTGGTCACTGCGTAAAGTAAAGAAGAGAAACGAAATGCTGATGGGTTATTCTTAAATAGGGAACTTGTTGCTCTTGTGAGATGTGATGGTTAATGTTTTTGAACCTGCATTATGGGTTTCTTGCTGTTTTAATTGTAGTTTCGGGGAGGAGAATGGGTGGAGGTGTAAAGAGGAGTTTTCAGATTTCGTTTGGGTTTTGGATCCGATAGATGGGACCAAGAGTTTTATTACTGGTATGCCTCTTGCTACTGTTCCTGTAATGTTAATGCAGTCAGTGTTGAGCTTTGAAATTTTTTAACTCGTAATTTTATCTGTTTGATCATTTTAGGTAAACCTTTGTTTGGTACACTCGTTGCTTTGCTATATAAGGGTAAACCGGTAAGAATTGCATTCTGTTGTTTGCCAGTATAAAAGAGAAATGGTTTCATTTAATGCTAATAAGCTTGTTACAATGTGTGTGAAGTGAATATTCTTCTTAAAATGCTGAAAATGTCCTTGCAGATTCTTGGCATAATTGACCAGCCTGTATTAAGGGAACGATGGATTGGCTTAAATGGAAGGAGAACGACATTGAATGGAGAGGAAATATCTACACGGGCTTGTGCCAAACTGTCACAAGCATATTTGTATGCTCTCTCATATTGTTATCCTATCCTAAGATAAACAGTGTAGGACTTGTGATTTCATTAAAGTAATTGCATCTCTTGTGAAATAGTCAACTCTCCATATTCATATCATGCGAGTGGCTTATAGCTGTCAACTCCTTTCTTTATGCAGGTATACCACTAGCCCACATCTGTTTAGTGGGGATGCTGTAGAAGCTTTTGCTCGTGTTAGAAGCAAGGTTTGTGTGATCTGTTCAAGATAAAGAGGTTTACCTGATACGGTTTAATGCCATTACAATGCCAACCGAAATGGAATAGAAACAATTAATAAATGAACAGGGTGATCTCTTTAAAATGATAAGATTTGAACTACAAATCTGCCTCAATCACACAACTATGGTATTATTTCACAATATCATTAGAGATGACAATATCAATTCATGTCTGATGCTGGGAAATTTCCGTACTTCTCCTTTTCGTCTTCCTTGTTCTCTGTTTCATGGTATATTTTCTGGCACCAGCATGTAAGTTAGGGATTTTGTCAACTTGCATCACTTGATAGATTATGTAAAGACTTGTCAATTTGCAACTGATATTTGTCTATGGACATCACCTCAATGTTTTCTGAGTAAACAATTGAATTGTACTTTTTCTCGAGTGTTTTGATCCCTTTCTCCCTCTTGTTTCATGTTCTTATTGTTTGCAGGTGAAAGTGCCATTATATGGCTGTGACTGTTATGCTTATGCTCTTTTGGCTTCTGGATATGTAGACCTCGTTATCGAGTCTGGTCTCAAGGTAACTTGTGCTTCTATCTACAATGCTGATCGAACTGATGTATCCTTGACGTGTATAACTCTGCACTATGGAAGACATGGGACTGTTTTTAGCACTTCAAATTGCTGTAATTAGAACAAGTCTTTTTACTTCAAATTTGGTGGCTAGCCTTTTCCCAGAAATGAATAGTTCAAAAGAAATGGAGTTTTTAGCGTCGTGCGATGAATTCTGTAGACGTAAAAGGGCCTTGCATTTGCATTTTTGTGCCTCTTTGTAGTGCTTGCCTTTTTTTTTTCAACAGTAAAACAAACCTTGTTGCTTTCATTCTCATACTGCATAAAGCTTTTGCTGAACAAACTTTATTGTCAATATATAATTCAATCATATTGCTCTTGTTGTCAGCCATACGATTTCCTTGCCCTGATACCTGTGATAGAGGGAGCTGGAGGCATTATAACAGACTGGAAAGGACACCACCTCTTCTGGGAGGCTTCTCCAGATTCTCGTGCAACAAGTATTCTAGTTTATACCAAGTTCTCTTTATTCTGATTTACCTTTATTTGCGACACACGATTCATCTTATCCATGTTAGAGTTTGAACTTAGCTTTGAAAGCAGGCATCATGCTGGTCCTCACCTATTTCATTTTTCAGGTTTCAATGTAGTGGCGGCTGGAGATAAACAAATTCACCAACAAGCTCTAGATGCATTACAATGGCATTGAAGATTTGCACCCGATTCTTACCTCCAATGTAACAATGTCTGCTCTTGTGGTTCAAATATTTACTATTTTAGAAACAGACCCCCTTGGGAAGCTAATTCGACTAGTACAAGTGAACTAGTTTTATTTACATCTCATCAATAATAAATCTACTTTTCTGTTTATCTGAGTAATTGATCAATCAATTTGTGTTCATGTCAAACCTCCTCAGACACATTAGTTATAAAGACTAACTGAAAGTCGAGTGAAAGCATAACAGTGATATTCAGGGAAAATTGAGATGCTTGAATTGCTCACCAGTTGATTGGCAGAGGGATATAACGATCAAATATAAGCATTTCAGTTGAGTAGAAAATGATTCAGCTAAAACGGGTTAAAAAAAACAGCTATATAAATAAAATGGAAACGCTGCAATTCGCGTACTAGCACATTACAGTCAAGTGACAGCTCCAAAAGAACAACGTTGCTTGCCCACATTACAGTCAACAAATGACAGCTCCAAAAGAACAACGTTGCTTGCCAAGACTGAAACCATAATAGAATTGCGTATCTCCTTGCTGACACTATTGTTTTCGTGAAATAGACAAGCAGCGATTCCACTGACAGTAACAACAAATGGTACAAGATCTGAACTCCTCCATTTCATTCAGGGTCTGAGTTGCATGGCATGCTATCGGAAAAATCAAGCATGATAAACAGGGTTTCAATCCTTTCCAAAGTCAGCATTGTAGTGAGCACTAGATTCAAGCTTCTTGGCCTCATTTAATTTCCGGACAGCCTGAAATGGCAGGAAGCCATGACATGTCAGACCATACAAATATACAAAACGAGAGTAAATGTCTAGATGTCCATTGTCACAGTAAGATGACTTAAAAATAAAGGGTTTTCAATTTTCATAGCTTGCACAGCAGAAATGTGATCTATTTTGCTAATGATTCTCTTAGTAAATGGGCAGGAAAAAGACGTGCTCTCTCAAAGAAAACAAAACTGTCTGACAAGTAAAGGATTGAAGAGTTCATAAGCAAACAGGCCTAACATGCATAAAAATTTCTGAAAATCTTACCTTCATGAAATCCTCATGGATGACGTAATCACGTTCTGCACGGATTGCAGACATCCCAGCTTCAGTGCAAACATTTCTAAGATCAGCACCATTGAACCCCTGCAACAGAGACACTTGATTTAATAGTCTGGTAAAAGAAACTAACAATTTGTACAGATAGAAGCATCCCAGGCTCACCTCAGCAAGCTTCACAACCGCTTCATAGTCAATATCACCATGTTTGGCAATTCCAGCAGCATGGATTTTGAGGATTTCCATTCTTGACTGCTCATTTGGCAATGGAATTTCTATCTTCCTGTCTAGACGGCCCGGTCGAAGAAGTGCAGGGTCCAGAACATCAGGTCTGTTTGTTGCCATAATCATTTTAACCTGGAAACACAACTCAGAGTCAACAAGTTTCTAGTAAAACAAGTGCTCCATGTCAAAACAAGTCATCCATACAAATTGAGGTATAGGATTGGTTTGATGAAAACAAAATTAAGCTACCTTCCCAAGCTGGTCAAATCCATCAAGCTGATTAAGCAACTCCATGAGTGTTCTTTGGATTTCACGGTCTGCACTTGTTCCCTCACTGAATCGACGTCCACCGATGGCATCAATCTCATCCATAAATATAATACATGGCTGGCAAGCAGAAAACACTTAGTAAGTTATGATTAATAAATCTTGTCACCGAAGGGAAAATATTCTATAATAATTTGCGCTCTTACTTGATGATCACGTGCGTACCCAAACATCTCTCTAATCAATCTAGCACTTTCACCAATATATTTATCAATAATAGCACTCGACACAACCTAAATCCACAAGTAAAAATCACATTTCTTGGTTAACACACGTACATGAGTGTGCAATCACAAGGGCATTTTGAAGCTGATATTCAAATTGTAAACAGCAATTTCTAACCTTCAAAAAGTTGGCATCTATGTTGCTTGCTATGGCTCTAGCTAATAATGTCTTTCCTGTTCCAGGAGGTCCATAAAGAAGAACACCCTGCAAAATGTTGAATTTCAGCGTCTCTCTAAGTATTTTCAGTTTTCCAGGCCAACAGATGAAGCAGCATCAAATAGTGTTATTACCTTGGGAGGCTTGATTCCCACCCTCAAAAAGAGCTCTGGATTCATGAGAGGCAGTTCTATAGATTCTCTAAGCTCTCGAATCTGATCTGAGAGCCCTCCCACAGCAGAGTAGCTAACATTACCAGGATCCTCATGAAGCATGTTATATACAACTGGATCAACCTGTAAAACAAAAATTCCACAACAGTTTAGGGCACATACACTGGTTGAACAACTAATAATTTCATCCAATAGTTTATAGCATCAATACTTACCTCACGAGGAAGAGCTCGCATGATTGTGAGAGTAGTCATATCAAGAACAACTCGGGTTCCAGCTGTTAGTTTTTCTTTGTCCACTTTACTACGACAACCAACCACATACCTAGGTCCACTGCTTGCTTTAACTATCACTAAACAGTATGATAATATATATTAGTTCCCCAGCCTGTAATATACCTAACCAATAGACAGCATTCAAGGACAACAAAATATATATATATAACGTCATGATAAAGTCAATAGACAGCATTCAAGGACAACAAAAAAAAAATATATATATATAACGTCATGATAAAGAAGCTATTAATACCAGCAGGCTGCTGAAGCGAAATATGAATATAGTTTAAATATAAAAAAATTGATATGTTTAAGCTGCACTCTGTGAATGAAAGAGAAAAAGAAAGTGCACGGCTTAATGTTGTTTAGAATGAACAAAACCCTACAGTCTCCCAATTACTGTTTATGTGGAAAAGTAGAGATTATTACAGCGTTCATTGTCGAGTGGCCTGAGAACTTCACCAATGATTTGTCCAACACTCTGAAGGGACTTCAAATCATCTTCAGTTTTGGCAAATTCCTTCTTGGCAGCCCGCAAATTCTCTCTCACTGAATCCATCCAATTACAAAACATGTCAGTTCCTAACACGACAGACAAAAGCAATAGCACAAGACTCCAAGGACAAAACAATATTTACCGAAAATATAAACATGGGAAATTTGTCTACCGAAAAAACAAACTTCTAACTAAGTATTAATTTCCTTCCCTTACATTTTATCCCCAAAATGGTATCTTTGTTAACACGACCACAGGATTAGAAAAATAAAACAAAGAATTGGTATTCCCTCTACCTTTAATGTGATTTAACTAATAAGTAGTGAAAATTTACATCTCAAACCCAAACAAACCTCAGTCCATTTTCCTAGTAATTCAACTTAATCCAGTCATTTAATCTAACAACCAGAAACCATGTCAAATTCACTAGTTGAGCTAGAACAAAAACATCGCAGCATTTCATTCAGTCATGTTTAGCTTGAACAAAACGCAAACTCAATCTCCTAAAGTTACATTACTAAACACAAACTAACAAAACCGAACATCAAGCCACTTCGAACTTTTGTCTTGAAGCATCCTAATCTAAATTCCTAAATATATAATGAATAATAAGAGGAAGAAATCTAACCTTTGGAATTGCCACACAAAACCCAGAAACAAAACTCAATTACAAACTTAAACCCTAGCTCATGATCCAAAAATCTGCTTAATTTCTTTAAAATAAAAAATTCAAGATTAACAAAAAACACTCTTTTTGTCTGAAAAAGAAATCCCTAAATCTGCTAGAATTAAAATCAGGGTTTTGTTGCGGTGACCTGTACGGACTCGGGATTCGAGCTCTTTATGGTTCAGTAGCTTCTTGCGGTACTCGGCGATCGCTGTACGGCGTCGAGCCGCCTCCTCTACTTCGCTCGACATTCTTTGTTTTCTTTTCCTGTTTGAATCACAGAGAGACTGAGGTTTGCCTTTCTTTCATAAATTAGCTCTCACTTGTTTTTCAGGAAAAAAAATCTAAAGCAATAGACTTCTTTGTTTCTTTCACTTTTTTGTTTACAGGTAAAGCCTAGCCTTCTAATTATTAATATAATCTTAATTAGGTCCTTTAACCGTAAATTTTCCTTTTTAGAGGGGCGGGGATCCTTATGTTTGTTTCAATACCATGGATAAGCATTTACGGATAAAATCATAATTATTGAAATCAAAAGTCTGGTGGGTTGATAGGGGGAATTCATGAAGTCTAACCCCAGCTGGATTTTAATTTTAACGAAAAAAGTAGAAGAAAATGCCCTGACTAAACACAACTGATTCTCAAGAAAAAGAATAAGAACTTCCTCATGTGAATAGAATGCGTAGGCCAAGAAAACTCAAAGGCTTCCTACTTTCTTTAAGCTGGAAACCATGTAGCTACACTGATTGGGCAACCAAGAAAAAGAGCATTTTACTGTATTATTTGAGGTTTGCTAATTGACACTCCCTTAATTCTATTTTGCGATTGGTTTGAATTGGATTCCTTTTGCCATCTTTCTAAGATCTTGCTATGGCAATTCATGACCGCACAGTCCGCTGAGGACGTGCCTTCCTTTTGCCATCTTTCTAAGATCTTGCTATGGCAATTCATTGCCGCACAGTCCGCTGAGGACGTGCCCCAAGTGAGTTTCATTGCTTATCTCGATCTCTCGTTCCCAGCCAAACTAGTCTAAAAGGGATTTCTTTTTTTTTAAAAAAAAGAAAATGAATCAACATCGTTATGATAAAAAAATAATTGACTCGAGTGGACCTGCTAAGTTGCAAGTTACTGGTGTCTGAAGGCAGAACCAGCAGAATTAAACCTATGGTTTCGAAAACAGAATTGTATAAAAATTTTGAAATGTAGAGAGGAAGAGAGGCAAGAATGGAGTTTGACCATTTCAGATAAGATTAGCTATTTATGATCATTGTGTTACAAAAATAGGAGGTAAAACCAACTAATTTTTGCAATACAAAAATCTCCTCACCATAAACATTGCCCCAATATTGGCAAAGCAAAAGCCATCTCACCTGTCAATTCTTCCCCTCCACTTATATTCAAGAAAAAAGAAGAAATGAAGTTAACCAACCCCATAACAGGGGGATTGAAAACCTTCCTTTTTGATATCTTTCTTTCTGTCTAACTCTAACCATCCCACCCTCACCCAAAGGAGGGATGGAGATGGAAAAAAGGAGATTAAAAGCATCAAAAAATAATCTTTTTCTACCTTCCTTATTGTCGACACCTATGGCTATCCTCCTTGCCCTCCTCTTACCCTTGCTTTCTTGGCCCAGCATTGTATCCGCGGGTGGCAATACCTTCAAGCCAGCTGATGAGTTTCTCATCAGCTGTGGAGCCAGGAGCCTGGCTTCTGTTCCTGATGGAAGACTCTTCAAGACCGACCATGAGGCCCAAGGATACTTGCAAACCAAGCAAGATATCTTAGTATCTGTTCCATCGGCAGACGTTCCTTCTCCTATATATCTCTCCGCGAGGATTTTCAAAGAGGATGCCACTTACGCATTTACATTGAAGAGTGCAGGATGGCATTGGGTGCGCCTGCATTTCTTTCCAATCAATAACACGGAATTCGATCTGCGAACTGCAACATTCTCTGTCAACACAGATAAGTATGCCCTCCTGCACACCTTCAATATAAATAACAATACTGAAGCTGTACTGAAGGAGTATCTAATTAATATGACCGATCCAAACTTTTCCATCCAATTTAAACCTCTGAAGAATTCGGCTGCTTTCATCAATGCCATTGAGGTTGTTTCAGCTCCTGACATTTTGATAGCTGATCAAGCCACCAACCTTTTCCCAGTTAACGATTTTGCTGGTTTGAACGACTTTGGATACGAAATAGTGTACAGGCTTAACATGGGGGGGCCTTTGATTACCTCAGAAAACGACACACTTTCGAGGAGATGGGTACCTGATAAGCCATACCTTAAGCACGAAGCCTTGGCCAAAAGTGCATCTGTCCCTACTTCCTCCATCAAATATGGTCCAGGAATCTCATCACTTATTGCGCCAGCAACGGTCTACGCATCTGCTGAGCAAATGGCTGATTCAGAAACAAGGATTCAAAATTTCAATTTAACATGGAATTTTGTGGCTGATGCAACATTCAGCTACGTAGTTCGGCTGCATTTTTGTGACATTGTGAGTAAAACCCTCAATGATCTCTACTTTAATGTCTATCTTAATGGCAAAAAGGCTATTTCTGGTTTGGATTTGTCATCCATCGAAGACGAATTGGCAGTCCCGTATTTCAAAGACATTGTGGTGGATGCTTCCTTGATGTCTAATGGACTCGCAATCGAGGTTGGTCCGATGGATGATGAAACTGGTACGAGAAATGCTATTCTGAATGGCTTGGAGGTTTTCAAAATGAGCAGTAAAGTTAACAGTTTGGATGGAGTGTTCGGGGTTGATGGTGAGGTGCTTGAGAAACACAAGGTAGTTACTTACGTAGGGTTCGGGTTGATGTTTGGTGCATTTATAGGCCTTGGTGCAATGGTGTTGAAGTGGCACAAGAGACCCCAAGATTGGCAAAAGAGGAATAGCTTTTCTTCTTGGTTGCTTCCAGTCCATGCTGGTGACCATAGCTTCATGACAAGCAAAACCTCAATGGGATCTCACAAGACCAACTTTTACTCGTCAACTCTTGGTCTAGGTCGGTTTTTCTCTTTGTCAGAGTTGCAGGAGGCTACCAATAACTTCGATTCAAGTGCAATAATTGGTGTTGGTGGTTTTGGCAATGTCTATATTGGAATGATTGATGATAGTACCAAAGTTGCTGTCAAGAGAGGTAACCCACAATCTGAACAAGGAATCACAGAGTTCCAGACAGAAATTCAGATGTTGTCAAAGCTCAGGCATAGGCATTTGGTGTCCTTGATTGGCTATTGTGACGAGAACGATGAAATGATCCTGGTTTATGAATACATGTCCAATGGACCTTTTAGGGACCACCTCTATGGAAAGAATTTGCCCACATTGTCATGGAAGCAAAGGCTGGAGATCTCTATTGGAGCTGCTCGCGGACTGCATTACTTGCATACGGGAACTGCACAAGGTATCATTCACCGTGATGTGAAGACCACAAACATTCTGCTCGACGATGCCTTTGTCGCCAAGGTTGCTGATTTTGGGCTGTCCAAAGATGCGCCTATGGGACAGGGTCATGTCAGTACTGCAGTGAAGGGAAGTTTTGGATACTTGGATCCTGAGTACTTCAGGAGGCAGCAACTGACTGATAAATCAGACGTATACTCATTTGGGGTGGTGCTGCTTGAGGTATTGTGTGCAAGGCCTGCCCTTAACCCTCAACTTCCAAGAGAGCAAGTTAATTTGGCTGAATGGGCAATGCAATGGAAGAGGAAGGGGTTGCTTGAAAAGATCATCGACCCTTGTCTTGTTGGTACCATCAATCCTGAATCATTGAAGAAGTTTGCCGAGGCTGCAGAGAAGTGCTTGGCTGAGCATGGTGTTGACAGGCCAACTATGGGAGATGTGCTGTGGAACTTGGAGTATGCTTTGCAGCTCCAAGAATCTTTCTCTAAGGGGAAAGATGAGGATGAAAGTAAAATATCAGCCACTGTAGCTGACTCCCCTGCTGTTGTAGCTACTTCCACCTCTGTCGCAGAAGACAACAAAAGCCCTGCTGAAGTTCAGTTGCTCGATGATTCCTTTGTTGCCAAAGTTGCTGATTTTGGGCTGTCCAAAGATGCACCTATGGGGCAGGGTCATGTAAGTACTGCAGTGAAGGGAAGCTTTGGGTACTTGGACCCTGAGTACTTCAGGAGGCAGCAACTGACTGATAAATCTGACGTATACTCGTTTGGCGTGGTGCTGCTTGAAGTATTGTGTGCGAGGCCTGCCCTTAACCCTCAACTTCCAAGAGAGCAAGTTAACTTGGCTGAATGGGCGATGCAATGGAAGAGGAAGGGGTTGATTGAAAAGATCATCGACCCTCTTCTTGTCGGTACCATCAATCCTGAATCATTGAAGAAGTATGCTGAGGCTGCAGAGAAGTGCTTGGCTGAGCATGGTGTTGACAGGCCAACTATGGGAGATGTGCTGTGGAACTTGGAGTATGCTTTGCAGCTCCAAGAAGCTTTCTCTATAGGAAAAGCTGAAGATGAAAGTAAGTTATCAGCCACCGTAGCCGACTCCCCTGTTGCTGTAGCTACTCCCAAAGCTATTTCCACCTCTGTCTCTGTCACCGAAGACAACAAAAGCCCTGCTGAAGTTCAGGTCATTGATGATCATTCAGGAACTGCAATGTTTTCTCAATTTTCTGGGCTAAACGGCAGGTAAATTGTATAACTTCCTTGTTCGAATCGATCAGTCACCAAGAACAGAAGAGTTTAAGCATCTCATGGAATATCTTAAACCTCGGAGCATCAATGGTGGCTTTTGCTCTTGCTTCAGAATGAGAACTTGATGGGCTAGCATCACTCTTATAATTGCATGTCATGGTGTATGTTGCAAGTTTCCTATCTAGAGACTCTATTTATCTTCTTTCCTGTGTGTAGTATTTGAGTCTGAGTTTATACAAGCTGTAAGAAAAATGAACTGATTAATGTACTGGTATTGATAGATGTATACCTGCTGTAGTCTTATGCCTACATCCTTCAACCCCTACTATATGACATGATGGGAATTTTGGACTCACTGTCTCGGCAGAATCTGTAAGTGGATTTTCAAGAATCGCTTCTGGCTGAGTTTATATACTTGCTTGAATCTATGTTTGCCAGAAAACACAGGGCGGTTCCTGGTTAGCGCATTCAGTCCGAGAGAAACTGTAGAACAACTTAAATGTTGTAGTCAAGCTTCCATTCGAGGCAAAAAGTATAATAGCTCAGAAACTTGTTGCTGAAAGTTTTGCTTAAGAATTAGCTTTGTACAGATTTGATCTTTAAGTTTTGTGAATGGACAATTTTTAATACAAGTATCCTCATAGTAGGTATAAATAGTCTAAACTGAACCGTTAACTATCCTGCTGCTGAAACAACATATCATTGTTCCAGTTGTTTGAACTATAGCTTCAGAAATCGTGTACAAGAAATGGCAGACAATCTTGATTCATTTATAACAAAAAGGTCACCTTAAAAGGCCCGAAGCCTAGCTATCCATGAAATGAAAGATATCAGCAGAAAGCTAGGAAGAAAAATCTCCATGGTGTTATGAAGAAGTCAAAGCAAGCTGCAGCACCAATCCAGTTCACAGTTCAGAATCCATAAATAAGATGTTTTCTAGATCAAAGTTAATGTATAAGCTGGGAGTTTAAGCCAATTGTCATTGATATTAAAATCCTACTGAGTGTAAACTATAGTTTCAGTTTAGCAGATAAGGTGCCTGACTGGTTGGCAAAATCAGCGGGGTCTGATGTGAAACCACCACTTGAGCTCAGAAATCTTGTTGTCAAAGACTTTTCTGCAGATGATTGAAAATGGCTCTTGTCGATGTTAAAAAAAAAAGACAACTAATGCGGGATTAATTTCTAGCTTTGCCCTAGGCTTTGTCCAAATTTAATTTTTGGTTTTGATAATTAGAGTATCCTTGGAGCACCTTTTGACCTTCCATATCCCAACTGATGAAATTTTCATTTCACGAGAAATTTCTTTCTTGTGGCCTCCCTTCCAATTCAAACATGACAGACTTGAAGTTAAAGAAAATTGTAGCCGGTATTCATGTCAACATGGGGATTTTTGTAACGCAGAAACAAATTTTCACGAAACAAGTGGGGATGTATCACGTTATTAGCACTAGCACAACAAATGGAAATTTAATTAGTGAGGATTGATAAATTTTTCCTGACTTCTTGATGGTTTCAGAAACCAGTTTAGGTAGATGGAATATACCATTCCAGGACAAGTGAGTCAAGTGGCTGATGTGACAAAAAATATAAGGTGGGGCTAGAAAGTGAGATGCCTCAAGAAAGACAGGTTCCATATTGAATGAACAAGAGCAAGTGTTGATAAGGGTGTGGATGTGTGATTAAACAATATTTCCGAAACCAAAAACCAATTCGGTGCATCTTTTTGTTTCAGAGGATGCGAGGCAACCCACAAATATCGAACCCTATTGTTGCTATAGAGACTTGTTATCCTATCCATGACGTGTGAGCTCTTATCTCCATTTACATCACGTGGCTCTTGTATCTCCCAACTGTTTCTCATATAAAAGGCCAATGTTACCACTCAGAAACAACGCATCTATCTCTCTCTCTCTCTCTCTCACACACACACACACACACACAAAATGGAGAACCAGACAGAACAAGTGACTTTTGACATGGATGCACTCAGGGCCAATCTTCCGCAAAAGTAAGGATACATTTTCTGTCTTTCTCAACTTTGGTTTCGCAACTCGATATATTTCTTATGTTGTAGGGAATTGTTTTTTGAACAGGAGGGGGGGATTGTCAAGGTATTACTCAGGGAAAGCAAGGTCATTTACATGCATAGCTGATGTTCGTTGTCTTGAAGATCTAAAGAAACCAGAACGCCCTGATCCCAAGAAAAGGCAGAAATATTCAGATAGGAATGGCTTGCACGTTCCTCCATATCCATGTCGACGAGTATCTAGCTCCACCCAGTGCATCTCACCCTGTGTTGGTGTGTGAAAACAGCCAAATAAGCTTTTTGGCTTCCTTCTGCGATTTTCTTTTATTATTATTTTGACGCTTTGCCGCATTGTGTACAGGAGGAAATCTTCACAAGCATTTGTAAATGATAATAAAATTTTGTAGTTCATATCTAAACGAGTACCATGTGACCTTGAGAATGCCAGAATATTCGTGCCCATGGAATCATCTCCTCTTAGATTTGATTTAACAATAGATTATGTGTCTATTAAAGAGTTAATTTTTAATATGTTCAAATAATTTATTTTTTATATCATAATATCAAATCAAAACATAAAAATATATAATAAAAAAATATAATGAAGTGCATGCCATCAATTAAAAGTGAGGACATATTAATATCGCTGATCATTTTAATGCAATTTTGAATCTTGCTTGAAGCCCTCAACTGTTAGAACGCTAGCAAAGCAACCTGCATTGACAATCTACAATCATCCAAACAAGCACAAACAGAAAATAAGCCAATTTGAAGAATTCTGTCCCAAACTTCCATTCCTCAAAGTTGAATCCAACATACTGACACAAAAATCTTGCAGATTTAACATGTCTATTTTCAACGAATTCTGGTACTTGCTTGTTACAAATTCCACTCTGTTAATCTAGCTATGAGAATGCACATTGTAGCTAGAGACATAAACCAGAAAGGGGAAATGGAGAATAGCAATTAATAGCATGTACTCGAGCAAAATACTAATAGATCGCAACCTAGTAATAACAACTATGAGCACCAAAAGAATCACCATTTCTCCCTACTGATACACAATTAAGATGTAAGAAGCCCTACTCAATCAAGTTGGAGTAACAGCTAAAAACTACTGCAATCTTTGCTTCTTGCTTGTGTCCTTACCCCAATGATCAAGCATGACAAGGTCATCGTCATCGTCATCGTCATCAAGCTTTTGGATTTTCTTGTCATTCCTAGTTTCATCAGCCTCATTTGACTGATCCAGAGTGCAGCCCTCAGAAAACTCAGGCAGTTTTCTCTTCTTTCCTGGACTAGCAGTCCCATCTGAAATTTCTTTCACCTCGATATCTTTCTGGGCATCCATAGGCTCTGTTGGCAATGATTTTGATGTACTTGCACCATTTCCAATAGATGTTTTATCATCCTTCTTCTCAGGAAGAGCTTGTGTCCATCCTGAAAGAACCATTCCATCAGGTTCTTTCTCCTCATCAAATTCTTCTCTGTTAGAATCAAGAATATGGCAAATATTAAGCAGCCCATCCAATATCAGAGCATTTGAGCACATCATACAGTTACCCAATGACACAGTTACCCAATGACACTCGAATCAAAAGGAAAACCAAATATCCATCAATCATCTAATTAAACTGAGATTCCAGGAAGTACTGTGTTTATTACCATTAAACTAAACTGAGACTAATCTTTGCAAAAAAAAAAAAAAAAAAAAGAGGAGGGGGTGGGGGAGGAAGAATCATTGGATAAAAAAAAATCTCCTGGGACGAACTCAAAATGGTTCAAAGAACAGCATCATTAAAGTAAAGACAAACCTATGCTTAATATAGATATTGCATGTGAACTCCTGTTGAAGATCCTCTACTGTGAGCATTTTCCCACCAATGACTGGAGAAGGAAGCTCAGATAGTACCTAATGGAAAAGAGAGGGAAAAAATTGATATAGAAAACCATATTAATTTGAACTTAAGCCATGCCATTTCCAGAAACAAAGAAAGGAATACCTTTTCAAGGTTTGCTGTATAATTTGCTATCATGTCTTCTTCAAGATCATCACCAACCTCATAAAGAAGGGCTGAGCCACACATAATCAGGGGGGAGTTCATACCAAGCTTGGCTTTTACTATCTTTTCAACAAAATCCCGCAGCTTTGAACGATGAGTATTAATCTCCAGTGACAGAGGTGTCTGTTCCCCACCATATCAAATGTGAGCAGAATGCATTCATGGCTTGGAAAAACACGCAAGGGCAATCCAATGAAGAAAAGAAAATTAGATATACCTGAGAAGAACAAACAAAGCAGGACTTGTTTGGCTCAAAGGGTTCCACTGGCATAAGAAGCATTTTTTTAGATGGATGTTCAAGACAATATGTCATCCTGCATAGATGTTTCATATGATTAGAACAAACCAGCTCTGACAGCATAACTATTAACATTTCAGAGTCATGTCCTTGTTTTCAGAAATAATACCTCATTAGCTTTTCTCTGAAAAACAAGGAACATAAAGAAAACAAAGTTTATTCAAGACAAAAAAACATGTGATGGTCAGCCTTAAACTTTTCCTTAACCTCATTAATCTGGAAACAAGAAAAGGGTCAGCCTCAAACTGATCTTTCAACCATTAATAAAAAGCAAAACTCCCAAATCAAGTATTCAGATACTAGAAAAAACCCTAGAGAAAATTGAGCCACACCTGTAACAGTCATTATCCTTTTTCAACACCTTGATTGCTTCAATGACAATTAAACCAGCTACAATAGCATTTGTTGTAGCAACAGCATGTACAATATTCCCAGCAATACCTTTAGCTTCAAAAAGGCTGTGTGAAGGAATGTTAAATGAAGCAGCCCGAATATTTGCAGCAGCTGTTACAAATTCCACTGCTAGCTGATCATCTTTGTCAAAACTCAGGTTCCCAATCTCCTGCCAAGGTAAAAGAATAAAAAGAAGATCACCCAAAAGTCAAAGGGTTTCATCAATCGCTTCTTCAAAAACAAGAGATCAACAAACCTTTTTTCTGTTCGTAAAAAATAGCTTCAAAGCTTCAAGAAAAACTCTTGTATTTTCCATTAGGCACCATATATCCTGTGGATTCTTTAGGCCTAAAGATGCCATGGCAGATGCTGAAGAAAGATCATCAGTTATATCAACATTTCCATTCTGTTGGGTCATTTGGTCAGGCAGGACATCCCTAACATATATGGGCCTTGGCTTATTGCGTTTTTTCCATGTCTCCTCATCAGACAAAGCTAGTTCAATGTTATAGCCGAAAACATGATCATATATTCTTCTTCCATAATGCTCGAAGTCTTCATCATCTCTCCATTCAAATACATCGTTTGTGTTTTCAGATGAGCTAAAAGCATCATTAGAGCGCACATTTAAATCATTCACCTGGTTCTTGTCTCCAAATAATTTTGCAAAAAGCAGTTCCTTCGCCCAAACAATACAGTGAACAAACTGCAGTTTCAAACAATGAAATTGAAAATCAAAAACACAGAAGTTCCATCTTGATTATTACATCGAGAGCCATCATGGTTATCATTATAAATGATTTTCTGACCAAGCAACGACCTAATTTCTGGCAGAGTAAAGTTTCAATTCAAATAAAATATTGCTGGCCAAGAAATTTCCATCTGTTAACAAAAACACTGATCTTCACAAACAAGAAAGAACACCTCATCCCCAAGAAGAAGTGAAACCAAGTTTGCTAATAAAAACCACAAAAAAAAAACCATTAATCATTCACCTTTGATGGTGTACTAGTAATTGTGCAGACAGGGTATGTCTTTGGGGCAGGTTTAGGCTGACACTCATAGCACTCTGTTTTTCCCTTCACTTGCACTGTAACCTGCCACCAAGAAATTATGAAGAAAAAAAATCATGATGTTTCTCAAAAACATTCAAACAAACAGTATAGGAATGTCAACTTCCAGACACAGACAACTAGCAGGCAGAGAGAATGAGAGAGATACAAATATGCAATTAAAAACATGAAATAAATCAACACAAGTAGATCAATATTTTCAGTTGCCAAAATAACTGTTCATTCATTTAAAAAAACAATGAGGGCCAAAAACTGGTGGAAAATTCAAGTTGTTAATCATCAGACTTTAAAGGACAAAATATGAGTAAACAACAAATAGTCCATGAACTTCAATTTTCAAACCAGCAACAAATGAAAACAAACTATTGACAAAACAGACTTTTCCATTCCTTTTGATCTTGGAAGGAGCAATTATACACAACAAAATATCACCTGTCCTAGGAACCCAGTAGTTCCACTTTCAACCAGAGGAACTTCAGCAGCCAAGCAAAGGCGGTTCACATGTCGCCTTGCATCTAAGTTATCTAGTCCATTCAGAACAACATTAAATTGCTTGAAGAAGTCAACATTGAAGTTAGAATCCTTCGCATTTGCATGGTAAGGGGTAATGCTTATGTGAGGCCTAAATCTTAACACGGCATCACGAGCGACCTGGTTGAAACATTGGTGTGAAATAAGATAAGACATGAAATTGATCATTACCCAATTAATTCAATAACAACGAGCACTTGCCTTTGCCTTAGACTGTCCAACATGTGATTGACGGAACAGAAATTGTCTATTAAGGTTGCTTACTTCTATGGTGTCCATGTCAATCTGCAGAAAAATGCAAGCAAATGTATAAAGGAGTGCTGCATAAAGATGAGGGCCTTAACATGAACTATCTATGCAAATGCCCAATAAAATGAAAGTTCAAATCCAACATGTCTTTGCCTCAAACTACACTATCTCCTTAATTTGGTACGCCATTAATTTGATTAAGATTTTTTAACCATTTTGTGAAGCAATAAATGCCTAGCCAAAAAACCCAATATGTAAGTTTCAGCTAAAGTTGCAACTTCCTGGTAGGGCAACCCATCCCCTTGCTTTTCAGCAGTTTCCCGTTACAAAAGCTAGTTTGTTGATGATCATGACATACCTAACAAATAAGGGCAGCATATCTTCTTGGGTGCCCCTTATCTCACCAACCACCACTAAAGCTTCATAAGGGCAGCCTTTAGTTCATACCATCACCACCTCCTTAGACAACCTTTCACCATAAGCACACAGTCACCACCATGTTTCGCTCCTAAGAACAAAGAACACCAAACATAAAAACAATCCCATCACCTTGTACCTACATTCCTTATCATCTCCACCATCTCGCACATGAAAAACACCTTGCAACCACTGAGCCAAACCCTTCACTTCCAAAGCCCCAGACAACAACTGCAATCACCGCTTCATTTATATCCATTGATGCTATGTTCACTCTTATCACAGCTGCTGCATTCTATTACCACCAACTACTCATTACTTGGAAAGCATTTGCAACCTTATAATTAACCAGGTCAATAATATTCTCAGTCTCATGACATAAAAACCACTACTTT